AAGGATGAAATGTTTTATCACGCCTAGTTGTTTATTAATTAGATGATAATGTCAAAACGACGTTGACATTAATAATTTAATTTCGGATGAATATATGTATATTTGTGAATGGGTAAATACTGGTCATTTTTAAAGGGTTTGGGCTACGTCAAAGAAATGCTAAAAGCGCAAAATATGTGCATTCAATTAAAAATTGACTGCGCATTGTGTCATGTTGATCAGTTGAAAATATTCGATTTAAATGCATCTGTGCTAATGCGGAATTTTACGTAACATTATTTTCCCTGTACCTCGATATTTATGTCCTCCTCGTTTCTTTGTGACTTTAAAAAGCACTGGGAAAAACACGCAACGTCATATGGGATACCGAATACTTTTGACAGTACCAATTAAAAAAAAAAAATCATAGTTTTATTTTTATGGCCTTAGTTTTCTGTAGAATTATATTGACATGGTAGATTTCACAATTCATTCTCTTTATTTTCCAGATGCATGTCACAATACAACGAGGGACATCTGTCCCTGAGCTGCAAAAATGCAACACATGTTGCAGGATGTACCACTGTCCATTCTGCCAGCCCGCATGGTTTAAACCCACATACTACTGCAAGGTTAAGGACCATGTGGAGGGCCATTTTAACCGAGCAGTGTCACATGAAGGTAAGTTTGCGAGACGCAATTTGTGTGAGTCACAGTATAGATCATTTTTATTTGGATGGCTCCTAACCAATCACTCAGTGACCTGTTGTAGCTGATCATTTATAAAGATGTTGTCTATGATAATTGTAGATGATTATTTAAAACATTTAAGCTCTATTTTCTATTACAGGGTATACCATTCATAGATGTGGGCTACAATGCCGACCAAAACTGCATTTTCATTGCATCTATTGCTGTGGAATAATAATGCGCCGGGTACCCTTTATAAATCACCTTCGCATATGTAAGGAAAAGCACCCTGCTTTGATGGTTTCTGCTGCTGCTGCTAAGGCGCCTGCATCCCCACGACCCACTGCTGTCTCACCTTTTGCTGCCCCACCCACCGCTGCCCATCCCTCTGCTTCCCCACCCTCTGCTGGACCTTCTATCGCTGGACCTTTTACTACTGGACCTTCTACCGCTACGCCACCTGCTGATGCACCACCGTCTGTGCTGCCTGATGTGGCTGCATCATTCATTGCCCCATCTGTTGCCCCACTCTCCACTGCACCTCTTGCTACTGCGCCATGTGCTGCTGCATCCTCTGTGCTGCCTGCTTCTGCCCCACACAGTGCCTCGCCACCTACAGTGCCCATACCGCAAGGTGGACGGATGAAAAAAATCCGTCATCAACAGATTACTCAAAAATGTCCCATCTGCCATATTATGTTCAATAAGAAAAACATTAAAACGCATATTGAAAGAAAGCACACTAAAAGGCAAAAGGATGTGACAGCAATGCACCACCTCGAAAATGAGTGCATCGATCCCGTGAATGGAATATATGCTGTTTCAAAGTCTCACTGTGGTACTTGTATTCCCCTTCATGTTCAGCTTAAAATATGGGGTGAAAATCAGCATGTTTCATGTGAATCATCCGACTGCCAGACAAACATGGACTTTGCATTGAGGAGTGGATTGTCTTCTCATCAGTGTGTACACCTCAGGTCCATAGTATACTGTTCTGCAAAGGAGAAGCAACTTGTGGACCTGATTGTGCAGTCCGGAGAGGCTGAGCAGCATATCGTGGTATTTTGCAAATTTTCTTTTTTTTTAACCTTAACTGAAGGTTTACATTGTATATTGAGGAATGTTATTCACTACCAACAGAAAAATATGCGACTTGTTTATCAAGCTTTATCATTTCTAAATAGTTTAAAAGAAACTGGCATTTGATGCCTATTTGAATTCACAAAATGACCACACAGGCCACTTATGCAATTTCCACGAAATTGTCAATAGGATGTACTCAAAGGCAAACCAAGGTATTTTAAACATGAGTGCCAGAGGGTGCCTGTCTACTTGGACACAGAACTGATGATAGTAAAAGTAATTCTATCTCAAATTAGTTTGATAAAAAAATATTAATAATCTTAACTTAATTTTTAAAGAAAGATAAAATAATTTAAATTCCCCATTACAATTAATGAACATTTCACTTTCATTTGCAGTCGTATCTATCTATCTATCTTTCTATATATATCTATATAGATATATATCTATATAGATATATCTATATAGATATAGATATATATAGATAGATAAGTCTTGATAAGTGTATAGTTAAGATAAATGCCTAAACTTACCACAGCCACTTTGGGGCCTTATTTTGAAATTCAATTTGCCTAAACTTACCACAGCCACTTCCGGCGTATGTCTACCATTGCCTGAAACTACCACCTCCGAGTCTGCAACTGGATACTATAGAAGTGACTGAGAGTGAGCACACCGCATGTTTGATGACTCTGCCACGTTGTTATTAAAAGTCACATAAAACGTAAACCTTGTCTGCTGACCATCATTACATCGGCTAGGCTAGCTTAGCTGTTGTCGTAGTTCAAAGCTTGTGTGGCGTGGGTTGCGTCGGCGCCGTGAGTACGTGCTCGCGCTCAAGCGCGCACAGCAGAGAGTAGCGGACTATCGACTGCTGAGACGCGCTTCACTCGGGTGACGTTGCTCCAGTTCGTGCATATTATGGAGCAGCTTCCGGACAAACGCAAATTGTCCGCCGTGTAGAGCCATTTTGATCTCCTTTTGGAGAATAAGGCATTTATTCAAATCTCCTTGTCTCACCAGGTGCCTCTCGGATTTTTGACGTCTTTTTCCATTGTGTGTGTGTTTTCCACAGCAGGGGAAAAATAGCATGCAAGAAACACAACAGACTGAAATTTTAAAACACTGGAGCATCTTATTTTTCTAAATAAAAATTTGTGAAGACAAAGCCCACAAGCATCCTCATTCACATGGTTTTCACATTATTGAAACACATTGAATGATATAATATGAATGCATGGATGTGAATGATATTGTCAAGGGGCAAGGTCATCTCTATTGTCAAATATGCTTTATGTATGACATGCAGCATCGATGAAATTTCTTCCTCTCAATCCTCAGTGCAAATATGCATGCAAACATGCTGTGCATTAAACACACACAGCTAAGAAAAGATAGCAGCTACACTGTATAAAAAAGACATTATATGTAATCTGAACAGTATAATATATAATATAAACAGCATAAACAACAACTTAAACAATGGCACTTGTATTTATTGTGGGTAAAGTGAGGTAGTGCATTGTATACACTTCATCATCAAATCAGTCAGTTCAGTCTGTCAAGTGGGTTGGCTGCAGGGATTTTGAAGGTCCAGCAGGTGGCAGTGGTCAGCGACACAGTATCAACACAGTGTGTCAGGGTGTCGACACGCCTCATGAGGCCTCATGGACCCATCTAATAACCAGGGAAAAACAAAACTAACCAAAAATGCAAAAGGCGTGAAAAGACAAGATGTCAAAACACAAAGGATACAAAATCGAGATTAAGTTTAACAACAAAAATACTTACTATGAAGAATGAAAAAACGAGGCGAGAAAATATGTGATATGCGAGAAAATATTGATACGAGATTTATAAAGAAAGGAATTTTTAAACCATTTACACATGTGCATATAAAATCTAAATTTAATCCCTGCCTACACTTTAGAAACTAAGGAGAGTGTTATTAAATGTGTAAAGAATAAGGTAATCACATGACCTTGATAGCGTCTGCTGTGTTGTGTTGGGTCTGTCTGACTGAGGCTGCTGTTGTCTTCTTCTCTGATCAAAACAATGTTGTCTTCTACTCTGATCAAAACAGTGTGTCCCCTAGCGGATACTCCATGAATCACACCTTATTAAAACTGTTCATTCCGTGTCTTTTATGCATTTTTCATACCTGTCAACTTTTTGGAGCGCCAACCTGTATAAACTACCAATAAAATCCTGATAAAGAGCAAAAAATCCTTATAACATACCAAAGCATTTTATATGTCAAAATAACGGCAGAAAAAAACCCACGAAATATGAATGATATATTTGTTTCCTTGTAGAACTTGCTTGTACACTACCGAAGTATGCAATGAATACTCTGCTGTTTTCAACTAGGAACCACGTGATTTACTGGAAAGTTACCGGAAATGAAAGCATTCGAGTAGACTAGCAAAAGCAAACGGGCAAAAGCAAACGGAACTACCTGTTAGGGGGAAAAAAAAAAAAAACGGAAATTTTCATAATCCGTATGATTTGTGCGATATGGCCATATACGTAAGATTCACCACAAAATCCGTATGAACTATGGCTAAACCGTATGAGTTGACAGGTATGTCCTACCGACTGCTGTCAGGCTGCTGAATAAAAAATAAAATGATGTGGAAAAACAATTGTAAATAGCACAGCCACCTTATCTATATCTATATCTATATCTATATCTATATCTATCTATATCTATCTATCTATATATATCTATATATAGAGAGATATATATATACCGGTAGATAGATATAAATATATATACAGTGATCCCTCGCGCTAACGCGGTTCACTTTCCGCGGCTTCGCTGTTTCATGGATCCGACGCGAAATGGACAAACATTGCCTTGGAACGCTTTAAACGCGCCACTGGTCATCCCACCGCGCGGATGTCATTGGAACGCCTCCAGCGGAGCACAAGGAGGCGTTGGTGGATTTATTTATTAAATCCAACACCCCACTCACTAGCTCCGCTACTGTGGAGGAGTTTTTTTTTTTATTTTTCAACAGCCGGCGACATCCTGAGGCCAAACAGGACCTGGCCAAGTGCAATTGAGAATCTGTGGAAAGATCTGAAAATTGGTGCTCACGGTCGCTCTCCATCTGATCTGCATGTGGAGGAGGGTTTTTTTTTTTCAACAGCCGGCGACATCCTGAGGCCAAACTGGACCTGGCCAAGTGCAATTGAGAATCTGTGGAAAGATCTGAAAATTGGTGCTCACGGTCGCTCTCCATCTGATCTGCCTGAGCTCGAGCTGTTCAGCAAGGAAGAATGGGCAAACATTTCAGCCTCAAGATATGCAAACCTGATAGAAAGAACAGGGATAGCGAACTCTGGTTTCTCAAGGGCCATATCCTGCCTGTTTTCGAGCTCTCCCTACTCCAACACACCTAATTGAAATGATCAGGATCATTTCAGGCTACTTTAGAGCTTGCTCATGACCTGTTTTTTGGATCAGGTATGTCGGAGGAGGGATTGGTGTTGATTCTCACCCGCCCTCCCCCCCCAAAAAATCCGATTTGACATCTTTGAGTTTGAAGCCTGAAATGTGGCATCGGATCAAAAAGATCTTTCGCAATCTGCTGTACGTGAATGGTTCGGACATTTTTTTTCTTTAGATTTCAGATAACTCTGAGAATACATTTGAATAAAGAGCAACGAATTGAGCATTTCAGATTGAAATCAACCTCGCGTTCTGCTGACACAGACTCATCTCTTTTCCTTCCGCTTGTGGTTGAAGCTGACCTCTCAACGGGGAGCACTGACTCATTTCATGGTGGTGAAATTATGTCATCTTCTTTCCTCAGGCAGGTAGTGTGTGTGTGTGTGTGTGTGCGTATGTGTGTGTGTGTGTGTGTGTGTGTGTGTGTGTGTGTGTGTGTGTGTGGGTGAGAAACCTGCCCCTGGCCGTCACTGATCTAATTGGAAGAAAGGAAGTTTGAGTTCGTGTTGCCAGCTTTTTCCAGTGCTCTTTTGTTCCGACGAGTGACATATCACATCAGACGGAAATCGAGGGTGTCTGAGAAAGAAAAGCGCCGTGCTTCGTTCTTTTCCACGCGATTGCCGTTGTTTCCCCACTCATGACAGTTTAGACTCCGAAATAAAATGTCTCTTGCCGTTCAGGTATACAATGTCTAGATTTGATACTTGACACCGAGTATGGGCTAGCAACCGTGTAATTTTGCAATACATCCACCCATCCAGTTTCTTCACCATTTATGCTCACAAGAATTAGCTAAAATATGTAAATGAGGTCAACTGTTGCACCATTAAGGAATGTTAAGGCAGCTCTGCCTTTTTTTTTTTTTTTTTTTACATGGGGAGATTGACTGTACGCTTTAGATTGTATCTATGGCAAGGTTGCCATGGAAACTGGATGACAGAAATAGGCTAACTACGGCACAGAGAGATGAAGTAGTTCTCTATAGTGGACAGAATTTAGGTCATCATATCTTGTCTGTTGGTCTATAAATTCCACTGTGTTCTAGCTCCATTAATCAGGACAAATCGTATGGAACGTGCGGTCGTTTCCTAAAGTGGCCGCAGGCAACTACTTTGAAAAGAAAAAGAATAATTAAAATTCCCCGATTCTGGCTACCCATTTATTGTTCTCACGGACAATTGTGACATTTTTGACATTTGTGTCTCTAACCTTGAGCTCTGACCCCAAGGTGTATAAACTGCGATGCAAACTGGCTTCAGGTGTCTACTAATAAATGGCATATGAAAATGCCCATGGAAATACAAACGGAAAATGCGTGACATCATCTCAAATATAAGGAGTGAAATGTTCTGATTAACCCGACGATCCGGGTCGGTTGAGAAATGTAACATGATGAAATAAAGGCCATGATAATGACGTAATATAAGGAAATCTTGTTGTTTTATTGAAACAAAATTCCAGTGATGCGCTAACAAATTCATCTTTTCAAGAATAAAATTGTGCAAGTGGTGCCACGATGTACTCACGACAACAAACTTTTTCCACCTTCTCAGAACTTGTCTTCTGCTCTACTTCCAGAATAAGCTTGACGGGGGGTAATTTGTCACAAATTTAACACATTACAGTAAAAGCATACTGTATATTAAATTTTGGCACTTACCATTAACGCATCCATCCATCCATCCATCCATCCATTTTCTGATCCGCTTTATCCTCACAGGGGTCACTGGGCGTGCTGGAGCCTATACCAGCTGACTCCGGGTCGTAGGCGGGGGACACCCTGAACTGGTTGCCAGCCAATCGCAGGACATACAGTATTGAGACGAACAACCGTCCTCGCTCACACTCACACCCAGGGACAATTTTTGAGGGTCCAATCAGCCTGCCATGCATGTTTTTGGAATGTGGGAGGAAATCGGTGCACCCGGAGAAAACCCACACAGGCACGAGGAGAACATACAAACTCCACATAGGTAGGCCGGAGCTGGAATCGAACCCGATACCACTGGGGCACCGGGCCGCACCTACAGCAATTTAATCTCTTACATTTTGGCACTTGCCCTAACAAAGTGGTGCCGTGGTGTTCGACTGGTTAGCGTGTTGCCCTCACAGTGCAGAGATGCAGGGTTCAATTCCGGCTCCGGCCTTCCTGTGTGGAGTTTGAATGTTCTCCCCGTGCCTCTGTGGCTTTTCTCCGGGTACTTCAGTTTCCTTCCACATTCTTAAAACATTCATGGCAGGTTAATGGAACACTTCAAATTGTCCCGAGGTGTGATTGTGAGCGTCTCTGTGTGCCCTGCTATTGGCTGGCAACCAGTTCCGGGTGTACCCCGCCTACTGCCCGAACAACAGCTGGGATAGGCTCCAGCAAAAACGGTGGTTCTCAAATAGGGGGACGTGTACCCCAGGGGTACATGAAGGCACTTTAGGCAGGTATGTAGGATTTTTGAACCTATTTAAAACTAGCATCCATGCTGGATGGCAGCAGTTGCCTCCCAGCTACCAAGAATGACAAAGATCCTCAGTGAAGCACAAGTGTCTCACTAAAACTCAGTTCAGTGCTATGACGTCAGTCTTCTTTTTAATTATTAAATAGATATTTTCAGATTATTAAAAAAATGAATCAATTTTTGCTTTTATTTCAAATTAAGTGAAAGCGATTTAGATCATGGATGGATGAATGAATAAATGATTTTGATCTGTATTATGATCCCAAAGAAGGACACTTTATGGTGATACTGATTGTTTGCTGTCTTGGTACGAAGACTGGTGTGTAGGAGTGCGCAACCGGTGAAAGAGGGAGAAGGAGTCGTGCACAAAAGTGGAATAAAGGAAGGCTAACTGTTTCTGGCATGCCTCCCAAAGGAAAAGCCATGAAGTGCACGGAGGAGACTGTTTCCATGGCTCAGGTGCGAGAATTATTGGAGCAGCAAAAAGACTTTGATGCCACTCTGTTAGCTCAACAGAAGAAACATTTCAAATTGTGTGTTGAAGTCCTTGCTGACTCTGCAAACAAGAAAGTGTGGGAACTCATGGGTCAAGTGCATGACCTTAGATCCAGTATGGAACTCACACAGAAAGATATTTTTAGATTTTAAATCCTACCTCGGCGCCCGGTGGACCAGTGGTTAGCGTGCCGACCTCACAGTGCAGAGGTGCCGGGTTCAATTCCAACTGCGGCCTCCCTGTGTGGAGTTTGCATGTTCTCCCGGGGCCTGCGTAGGTTTTCTCCGGGTACTCCAGTTTCCTCCCACATTCCAAAAACATGCATGGCAGGCTGATTGAACACTCAAAATTGTCCCTAGGTGTGATTGTGAGCACCAATGTTTGTTCGTCTCTGTGTGCCCTGCGATTGACTGGCAACCAATTCAGGGTGTACCCCGCCTACTGCCCGAAGACAGCTGGGATAGGCTCGGGCACTACCCCGTGACCCTTGTGAGGATAAAGCGGATCGGAAAATGGATGGATGGAATACGACTGCAAAACCTGGTACAACACTTGCAATGAAACAAAAAGTGAGATAGTGACGGTCAACAAAAATCTTGCATCACTTAATCACGATCCAACTTTATCGAGGTTCAGTCCAGGCGAAATAATGTCATCATTAATGGCCTTACAGAGTCAGAAGAAAAAGAAAACTGGTCCAACACAGAGGAGAATGTAAAGAAATTTGATGTCAGAAAAGAGTGATTACTGCATTATTGAAATGGACGTCCCACACGTCAGCGACAAGCTAAGTTTGAAACTAAACAAGAAGCTGTAGCGTCCACTGACAAGAAAAGAGATTGGTTCACTTCTCCTGTCCCATGTAAATCCGCTTCAATTCCTAGCGCCGACTTTCAGTTCCAAACAGGCATCCATGCTCCACGCCGACGCTCCTCTCTCCTCATCCTAAGTCTAACAGCCATCATTCCAGCCGCACCAACGCAGACTGTCCAACAGCGCCGACATCTCCGCTAAAAAAACTTCTGCCCATGACAGGCGCAAAAAACACAAGTGCCGCAGGGCTGTTGATGGATGACGCTGAAAATAGCGCCGACTTTCCCCCTGCAGGCACGGGGAGACTATGCAAACTCCGCACAGGAAGGCCGGAGCCGGAATGGAACCCTGCATTTCTGTTTCGTGCACACAGTTTCAAACATTCATCTCGTTTTGCAGACTTTACTCGCAACTACTTTGTAACTGCTTTTTGAATATTGCTTAAAGTTTTTAATAAGTCCATGTCCATTTACTTACATGGTACAAAAGACCAGATTGGAAAGAGTGGGACCTGTTTCATCAGTGTGGATGTTTGGGTTGTTGATGGCGCCCCAAGAGGGCAGTCTTGCACAAGGCACCAATTCAAGCTCGGACCACCACTGAGGACCTGCACAGCAGACAAAGCCATGCACAGCTCGAAGCAGAGTTGAGTCCACAACTGATGAGTCATCTCTCACTGCACAATTCACAACTGTTTGTTTACTTCACTCATCTCCAGCTAGAGCCAGAGCGGTGACAGACAAGGAGCCGTCACACAATGATTTGGCTGTCTTAAAGGATTCCAGCCGTAGATTCCAAGCGGCTTATTTGGGCCCGTGTCTACTTCCCATGTAAACAGCCTAAAGAGTCTTCAGACTGTAAGCCTGTTTGCCACACTGGGGCGGAGAGTCTGACAGGGATCTAAATTTACTCACTGCCACCACTGAAGGTCCTGCGGTCACTGTCGCCACACTTCCATCTAACATGGAGTAGATTTGGTTCAGATTAGTGTGGCGGTAGTGTGGAAATCATTGTAAACAAATTGATTAGCAGCATTAACTAAAATAACATTTGGCATGGCCTGTGTCATTCACCTGAATTGTACTACAGGACTTGCAATACCTTCCTCGCTGACTGACAAGGCAGGAGACTTTTTCGTAGGTCTTGGCCGATTGCACATACCAGTTTTCGTCGATCGAGGTGTAACATACAACTGGGGCTGCTTTGTAAAAAAAATATGGCGAGTGCTGTTGAGTAATTTTTTTTCGTTTCCACAATAAACTAGTAAAATGTTTTTGATGTTTTTTCAGGCCTGATGTGTGGGCAAGGTTTTGTGAGTTTTTGAGCATGTTTAGAACCTCAAAATTATCAGTTTTCATGACAAACGGTGCCATGCCATGGCAACAGCATTTTGCAAAAATTCACAAATTTGGTGTTTTAACATCATCAAACACTCTTCCAAGTATATATGAACTAGACGTGGTCATCCTGCAAGGAGAAAAACTGAAAAAAAAAAATAAAACATTTACCGTATTTTCTGTCCTAAAAGGCGCAAGTAAAAGCCTTCCATTTTCCTTAAAGCTCACAGTGCGCCTTAAAATCCGATGCGCCTTGTGTATGGTCATTACGGTAATAATTCAACCCCATAATGGCTCCTTGCTCAAGACATGCTGACAACGCAGAGTTCAAACAACCCTTTAAGACCTGACCCATCAAAGAATAGGCAGAAAATTCATATTTTTGGGAACTGAGATGTGTATTAACCCTTATTACAAAATCCACAAAAATATTTTTGCTATATCATGTTGTTTGTAAGATATTTTTTGTATCACATTTTAGTAAGCATTATGTAGATTACATGTGAAATGACAATTTGGGGAAAATCATTTGAAATCTGCAGTATCAAATTTGATACAGACGATTTAATTGTAATATAAAGAATGAGTTACCATATTGGCCCGAATATAAGACGGTGTTTTTTGCAATGAAATAAGACTGAAAAAGTCGGAGTCGTCTTATATTCGGGGTCGAGACATTATACCCATTCACGAGGCTAGATGGCGCCAGATATCACTGAAGCAAATGCTGAACTTGACTCCCCAGGCCAAAGTGAAACCCTGTCACGAAGAATAAAAATAAAAATAGCGGTAGCACGAAGTAGACAAATAAAAAATAGCGGTAAGAGAGAAAAGAGAAGAAAATAATAGAAGAGATAACAGAAAAGGGAGAAACGTAGCGACAATCTGGAGAAAAGTGGGTCGAAGATCGGCCAGGTTAACCAGCAGCTGAGGAGAAGTTATGATGTAATTTACATTTCAAAAACCAGAAGCCGTTCATTTACGAATGTGATTGCACTTTAGTTTACATATTTAAATGTTCAGATATTAGGATTTGAATGAGGCAAAATAAAATGCTTTTTCTCTCAAATATATTGTTATAATCATTTGTTTCAGATGTACTGTAATTATTTTCTGTGTAAAAATTTATTTGGTGTTCAAAAAGTGTTTTTTCAAACTTGAGTCTTGAAAAAGAGGGGGACGTCTTATAATCAGGGCCGTCTTACATTCAGGCCAATACGGTACTTAATAAATATGCATGTGGCAAATATGATACGAATGGCATTACAAGGCGATCCGTTACGCAGTTGAACACGGAAATAGAGCAGCGGCAAGAGAGTTCAACGTTAACGAGTCAATGTTATAACTTGCTGTTGGTTAAGTGAACTCTGTTGCTCCTGACATCTGATCGTTCTGTTGGTGTTTCCTTAAGCATAGCTCCATCTAGTGGATGCATTGTAGATTGCGTCTTATCATGCGGTGCGCCCAATGTATGAAAAAAATGACAAAATAGGCCATTCATTGAAGGTGAGCCTCATAATCCAGTGCGCCTTTTAGTGTGGAAAATACAGTATTTCCAGTAGATAGTGACTCGACCACTATGATGAAAGACAAGTTTCTAGATGTCTTCAGGCCTAGGCTATCATCAAATGTGTGAAATTTGGACAAGATGGGCTCATCTGGGTCAAGTTACAGCAACCTTTATTGTCACGATGAATCATCAGACTTGGCGGCACCACAATGGCCCTTTGCTGAAAAGTCACAATATTTGTTGAGTAAGATCGTCTTGGGGATTTTTTGATACATTTTCAGTCAAGTTCAATCAACGGACTGCATTCAGAACATTAAAATTTTGAGTCATGACAGGGTGCCGCTAAACGTATAACAGAATTTCAGATTTCTTCAGGTCGCACCCATTTATATAAATACAGTTTGGGATTTTTTTGGGACCATATGCAGGGAGTTTTTGAGGATTTCCTTCTCTGTGGCGAAAGAATGATTAAAAACAAATTTTGATGGCCGCTCTCATCATATAGTACTTGGAAACTCAAGTTTTTTTTTTCCCTTGGTGTTGTCTCGGGTCTTAAGATGGTACGAACGTCTCTTCATACGAAATTTTCAAGTTACGAAACGCCTCCACAGGAAAATATTGCCTGTTATTATGAAAGAAATTTCAAGACACAAAAGGTAAAAATACAGTGTGGTCTGCTCCAAGTTTCCAGAACGCAACATACTATAGCTGCTCTGCCATTGGCTATTACTTCCTGGCATCCCATTGGCTAAGAGGGACCTCTACCCTATGTGCCCATGTGTGCAGATTGATAAATAGATAGATATGTGTCTATGCAGCATCTTCGTCATTTGCCTCTCAGGCCACGAGGCGTTCTGATAGTTTTACGTAAATGTGAATCATCCAGAAAAAGTGTTCACCAGTCGGGCACTCGTTAAAAGCCGACAAAAGCGAACATCCTTGGATCAGTTGTTTACAAAACGCCAGGCAAAAACCACTTTTGAGAGAGAACATGAACGAAAGAGGCCAAAAAACAATGAGGATGCAGGTAAAAGTTAAATGACCATCATTTTAATTGTTTCTTACATTATGCACAACTCTCATTTATTGTGCAATAATCTAATTGTAACATGTATTGTTACATATTTTGATGCATTTTTATGCTTTAGAAAACATTTATGTTTGAATTTTGGGGTGTCTTGGAACGGATTCATTGGGGCATTTACATGGAAAATGCATCTCTACTTACAAAATTTTCTAGTTAAGAAATTTCTTTCAGAACCAATTAATTTCGTAAGTAGAGGTACCACTGTATAGCAAAAGTTTGAAGTCAGTCGTCTAGGACAAGGGTGCAAAATTATGGCCCCTGTTAATAAGCAAAAACGGGCCTTAATTGGACTTTCAGAATTACTCACTTCCTGTTCATTTTAATGCTTCTTAACCTGGGTTCGATCGAACCCAGTGGGTCTGTGAATCGGTCTCAGGGCCTCTGCCGTGGATGTTAAGACACACCTGACTCAACATGTCAATCAGTTATGACACGCCCCCTTGGCCATCAGTGGCTGCAGACGATCATCTTTATATTGTCCAATCAATGCGGCGGGAAATTTAGTTTGCTCAGTAGTCAACGTGTAACTGTCATGATAATACGGCGTGTGATTTAAAATAAATAATGTTTTCATATATGCTATGTCGAGCAAAAAAAGAAAGTGGTCAGGCGAATATGCACAACATGGATTCACATGCATCATGGAACGTAATTGGGACTCCGCGTCCTATCTGCATGATTTGTCATGCCAAGTTGAGCAATTCTAGTCTCACCGGCAAAACTGAAGGAACACTTTTTGAAATTGCATGGAGATGGGGAATTCAAGAACACGCTTGCTGAATTCAAGGTTAAACTTATACTTCTTAAATTGTATTTACTTTTTAATTTTTTTAAATAAATACGTTTTTAATGTCTTGAATTTGTAAAAAAATATATTTTATTTTTCACGAATGAAGGGTTCAGTGAATGTGCATATGAACTTGTTGTGCTCGGTACCTCGAACGAGGTTAAGAACCACTGTTTTCGACTATGACTGTAATGGACTTTTTTGTTAGTAAAAGTTTGTTTCTTCTGCGTTTGAGTGGTTATGCCTAAAGTGGAGTCAATCATGAAAATTTCAGGGGGACACACCTACACTATTAACAAATAAACAAATATAAAATATTTGCATCTCACCTTGCAGAATGTTCAGGGTGTACCCTGACTATTGCCCAAAGACAGCTGGGATGGGCTCCAGCACGCCCTTGTGAGGATAATAAATGGGCATGCATAAATTATCTGTTAACTTAAATTAAACAAAAGCACTGATTTTCGGCTCGTTTAAAACAATCTACCAACTGCCAATAATTGATGGCATTCGAATGGGTAATGTCAACGAGACTTTGGCATTACAAGTGACATGTCAAACACAGAAAAACAAAAATCTCGAATCATCTCGTAATTATTGTGTGAACAAAGTGAAACAATACCTTGCCAAAACTGTACTCCGTATTTTATACTCTACCCTGGTCCACCCATACTTCGTATGTTGGGTTAGTGAGGCCACGAGGCGTTAAGGGTGGGGTAACACAAGTGCAAAAACAAATCCATGAGTTACAGAAACAAATATTCTATCTTCTAAGCATGTCATTAATTTCACCAAATAACTTCATACAGGGAGATAACGGCATATTTTCACAAAAACGGTACAAATCACGCCTTATGTGAAGTTATTTGAAATAAGTTAACTCCAGTAATTGAAAATGAATAAAAGACATATGTTTATAATCATGTAAATTTGTCCTTGAGTGTTTTGAAAGGCGCTTATAAATAAAATATATTATTATTATTATTATTTATCTCGCCGGTCTGTAGCTCCATGGGCGTAGCCATTATCGAGTGACGTCAGATTGAAGCTGGTCAAAAATGCATGAATGGATGAAGTTCACCAAGCGTGCCACTTTGCCACATTCAATATGGCGGGGAAGTTTAAGTACGATTCTGTGCCAAAGAGTCAACTATGCTAGATATCCATGGACAAGCATACTTTCAGCCATTAGCGAGATAAGGAGCGACGGGCTGACGATGTTGTCAATGAACGAACCGAGTGACGTCGGCGGACTAATGTCAACAATGCAGCGGTAGAGAGTAGGCGTTCCATTCGAGTGTAACAAACAGCGGCAGACTGGGCTGCACTCCGTGCAGATCACTTCGAACGCGCGTTTACAACGTATTCGTAGCAGTAACAACAGAAAGGAAAATCACGGACATGTTTTTTTAGTAGGTGAGACGGATCAAATCGTGTTGTTGCCGCTGGAGAAGTAGTAAATTGGAGTCACGAGGATTTAAGGAGACGGCAAAGCGAGAGCCATCATGTGAAAGAACTTGCATAGGAAACGGATACGAGCGTTTGCTCGAGAAGAGAAGGAAGAAAACGGTAAGCAGCCGTGCACTTTCTGGCGTCTTTGTCGTACTTCGACCACTATCTGCTCGATCTGCTGTGTCACATATCTTCGTTTCCTGTCTGTCACCATCGAAAAAAAAATGACTCATGGTGTGGAGATACACACATGAATGGGCATTCTAAGCCATGTAAAAAGTAATCGGTAGAAAAACAATAATCCATACGTTTTAATAATTGACTGCGGTGTGGGTGGAAGTGACAGCATGAAAGATGATGAAATTAGTGGGTTAAGTTTGTCGGGTTTGAACGCTGGTTCAGAAATTAAACACATCCCCGAACCACATCCTGTTTTGTTTTAAGTCAGCACGGTGTATTTGCTACGATTTTGCATAGTGGGCTGATCAAGTGTGTTTACTTCACGCCACGGGGAAACATTTAAAGAATACTGACCCCCCCCCCACCCCACGCCCCATGACGCAAACATGTCTGAGTCACAGGATATATTCATTCATTAAGGATGTTTAAACAAGTTCCCAGGTTGATTAGTTGGAGTATAATGCGATAAGTAGTATTGATTTCCCACATGCTAGCCTACTACGATCATCATATTTCATTATGTACTATCACGATTTTCCTTTCGCAGTCTAAATGCACATCATTACACTTCGTTTTATACCTAGCCAGTTCGACTGTACATGCACTGCGGTTACCCATTTATCATTAGCTGTTTTTTTTTGTTTTAACTCCACCGAGAATAATTTTATGTTCTCATGTCATGATCGAAATTTGGGGTTTTTATATCAAATATCAATCTATTTATTGGGAGTGTGTGAAACCAGCTGCGCCTTTTATTGTTACGTGATCGGGTCATGCAGCGCAGCGGTTTAGTCAGCCCCTTTTATTATGCGGGGGGTCCCTGATAAGTGGGTGATTCTGCCGGGACTGCAATTTTGATTAGGGACGCAATCAAAGAGATGTTCTAAATATCAATAGGATTCATGCCGAACTATTAAAGATATGTATGATAGTGAGGTACGCCCCACAGTATAATTTGTCATTTCATAGCTTTTCTGGACGGTGAGTGCTTTTTGTGTGCTTTGCTTTCCGGTGTCTTTCTCCAGAAGATAACGTTTCACCTCCCAAAAAATAAACAAAACAACAACCAAAAAAAAACCTGCCGGATTTCTGGCTATATTAGTGGATTGCTTGAGTCCGACGGTTGACACGTTGATGTTGTTGCGGTACATTGATGCGGTAATGAAGCATTTAGTGTCGGCGTGACATTAGGTATGCACTTCTTTGTCTGCTGGATGCGCTGGGATCTTGCCACGTCAAGCAGCATCAGCTATCAATCCTCCACTATTTATTTCTCTTTATCATTTTTATGTTTTTTTTTGGGGGGGGGGTATATCTGACCGTGAAATACAAAGTACGATATTGAGATATTTTAACGTGTTGTATAAATACAGATAACACCTTCATTGAAATGTCACGGTAAACGTTGCTCGACTCTTCCAACACGTGAATGGCTGAAGCACTTATCTATCGTTTTGTAAGTTGAGGGGTCCGTTGTTTTTCAGTGGATGGCTCTTCTTTACGAATGACAAAAGGAGAGATGGAATCCTTTAATGCAGTTTATTAAAAGGACAAAGAAAAAAAAACGTCTGCACCTCCGAACGGATGAACGAGAACACAACACCTTCCTGGTAATACAAACCACTTTCTGGTTTCCTTAACCAATCCGATAATGTCAACATAAACTTGTTTAAACAATTATTAAACGGAATATAACCTAGGTAACTGTAACACAAAATAATATAATGCTCAAATATAAAATGAAAATAATTAAGAATTTAACATAAGCTTACAGTTTTATACAACGAGTCTTTTCTACTTTAGACGTCGCCCTCCCAATTCAACACATTAAAACACGCAATTAGCTTTATCATCTGCTTTGTTGAAAGTATTGGAATTGTCGCCCATTTATTGTGTCACACATTTGTGTGTTCTTTTACACACAAGATAGCACGTCGCTGGTCATGTTCACGCCACAAACTTTGCACTAATTCACAATTTTTGACACCGCCAGTTTATAACCTATAGATCACTGTATATAGAGTGAAATTATACCATTTAAGACTGACCATTGTGATGGGTCTAATGTTATATTTCCAAGTCTAAACTATTAGCTTGGCAACGTGGTTGATTTTATCACTCTAGTTTTCATCATTGCTACATAATAGTCTCTTGCGTTTGGCGAATAGCTATTTGTGGGTTATTTCCTAAACTAAAAAAAATAAATCAATAAAAATATCAAATGGAATAGAAAGTGTGGTCCAGTGGTTTGTGTGTAGGCCTCACAGTGCATAGGTTGTGGGTTCAATCCCGTCTCTGGCCTTCCTGTGTGGAGTTTGCATGTTCTCCCCGTGCCTGCGTGGGTTTTCTCCGGGTACTCCGGTTTCCTCCCACATTCCAAAAACATGCGTGGCAGGTTAATGGAGGACTCTAAATTGTCCCTCGGTGTGAGTGTGAGCGCGGATGGTTGTTGGTCTCCGTGAGCCCTGCGATTGGCTGGCAACCGGTTCAGGGTGTCCCCCGCCTACTGCCCGAAGACGGCTGGGATCGGCTCCAACGACCTTTGTGAGGATAAAGCGGATCAGTAAATGTCACCGATCTGCGTGTTTTGATGGAATCAGGATTGCAGAAGGTGGCAAAATTGTAAACGGGCTGTCACTTATGTAGCGTTTTTTAACCTCGTGTCGTCAAAGCGCTTTACACTGTTATCTCATTCAACTACTGATGACGCAGCAGCTTTTTCATAAAGAAGCAAATTCAGCTTTTATTCGTAATTAGCTTTTTCTGTATTTAAAAAAAAAATAAAAGTCCCTTCCCAAAGGTTGTTTGGGTACATCAATGCAGTGCAATGGCTGGAATATATATGAAAAACAAAACAAAACATGTTCTCATCCCCGCTTATGTCAGCACAAAGGTATGTGAGACAGGCCGCTGCCAATGTTTGGTAAAGAATGAACAGCTTTGCTGGGAAAAAAAAAAAAAAAAAGAGATTCTTCACTTCACCCCAAGGACTGTTGTTCCCACCCTCATTTGTCTTTCTTCCTGAGTTATACTGCTCCCCAAAAAAATAAAGGGAACACTCAAACAGCACAATGTAACTCCAAAGTTCCCTTTTGTTTTAAAACATTTCTGATACCTCGCCCTGGCTCAGTATCAAATTTAGAATAGGATCGTTGGAGATAGGCACTCAGAAATGAATCACAAGAGACAAATCTGCTACTAACAAATTGCACGTTTATTAGCGCCACAGAATATGTCACACAATCATTCAATAACACAAGAGACAAATCTGCTACTAACAAATTGCACGTTTATTAGCGCCACAGAATATGTCACAGCAAGCGAGGTATTAAGCTACAAAGAAATGAATCAACTCTTACCGTACGCCAATAGGGTGGAGAGCCAACACCCTTGGTAGAGCGAGCTTCAATACCAGCTGGGCGTCCCGTCAGTACGCAACCCGCAGCAGACTCTAGCAAGGGGATGGCAAAGTCTCCTCTTATCCTTCTCTGAGCGTGTGCGAAAGAAGGGGTGAGTGGCCAACTCAGCCCTTCTGGCGCCACACTTGTTTCGTTATCAACTGGCGTTTCACAAACTATTATGCTGAACAACTCTTTCTCACGCAATTCTGTTATGTTGTCATGAGACCGGTCCTGGGAAACAGGAGCCATCTGGCCCTACCTATGAGAAATGAAGTCCGATGGCTCCTGAGAAACGGGAACTCGTTGACAACAACACGTTATACAGCATCTGCCTCGGCGTGTCATCGAATCAACATGTTATAAAACGGAGTATTTTGTGAGGAAAACAGCACATTTTGATCATTATCATATTACCTTTATTATAATTTTTTTAGCCGTTTTTATTTCATTGCTGTCCATTCTTTTCTTTTGCTGAGTGTGCGCCGCCGTTGTCCATCGCCATGTGGAATCTTTTTAACTGAGGCCACTTGCCAAGAATCTATCAAATCATTTACACCAGAAGCATATTTCTGAGTCCTGCTTTTGAGTTTTGTCCAAAGCTCGAGCAGATTCACCTCTTGAACTGATTTTCAGATTCTTGCTCCATGAATGAGACAAAAACCCCTTGCGTAAATGAAATGATGCGCATCTGGTTGTCAGAGTTGTGGAAATAAATCACCGGGAAGGAAAGTGGGGATTACAAAGCAGTTTCAGAAGAACGAAGCATGTCTAAAATGGCTCTCCGAATGAAAACATGGTAGCAAGATTTTTGTACCGCGCGCACTCTTTGCACCTTGGCATGGGACTGAGGCATTGCGGAGGACTGTTTGAGCTTGCACCCGCTGAGCTGACTCACTGCGGAATTGTTACTCATTGTCTCTCAGTGTGTAAAGCAGATGCAAATAACCTTCGGCGGTCAAATCAGCATGCAAGATCATTTTAGCACTCGGTGAGATTCTCATGTCAGTCGACAGACATGTTGAACTGATTTTATTTTGAAGGTGTTATAAATTGTTTGAATGATAGTCACCAAAGGTGTATGAGCTCATGACAAATCCTTTCACATCTTTTTCAACTGTTAAACCTTTCATGCACTATTAACCTGTAACCTGATAACATGATAAACTGTCCACTGTCGTAATCGCTGTCCCCGAAAGGGTTAATATGACATCACTTGTTCACCTCATTTGAAAAAAAAAAAAAAAATTGAGAGGGCAAGTCAATTTAAACAACCAACCGCTTCCATATGAATCAATATTCTGATTCCTTGGCCGTAGTATTTTAAAAGTTCTGTAAATTTGCTTTGTTACAGCTGCAGCGGTTGTTAAAGCTCTATATAAATAAAGCTGTATTGTATTGTATTGTATTGTATTGTATTGTATTGTATTGTATTCCCTTAAGCATAGCTCCATCCAGTGGATGCATAACGCAACCGCAGCCACTATTGTAGCTTCTGTTCTTCGCGCCTTATAATGCAGTGCACCCTAGATATGAAAA